TCTTCAAACTGAGGTCGATGGAATATGAAGCTACTAAGGAAAAAGTGAGAATGAACAAAAAAAAAACAGTGACAAACAAAAGAAAGACAGGTGTATTACAGAACCGGAAAATATGGGGGAAAAGAAGGAAATATAGAAGAAAGGCCCGGTGAAAGAAAACGAAAAAATGTGATGGAAAAAACATTTGGAAAAGAGAATGAAGCAGGAAAATTAAATGCTGGGAATGAGAGAAAGTCATAATGAGACACATAGGAAGAGAGTGACATGATGAAAAGTACGAGTAGAGATGAAGAGGAAGGATAAAAAAAGAATGGGGGGAAGACTAAGATTAAACAGAAAGACAGAGAGAATGAAGACTGAAGCCACGGAAAAGACAAAACCAGAGAGGAAAAGTATAGAAAGAGAGAAACATAGCAAAAGGTAAAAAAGCAAGATATAATTAAGAAAAATATGTTAAACAAAAAAAAAAAGAAAAAGGCTGGGTGTGGACAGTGGAAAACATAAAGATAATAAAAGAGCAGTGATAAAAAATCTGCAAGAAGAAGAAAAAAGGTGAAGAGAGAAAAGTGTGAATGATGTAACTTCTGGCCAATGTGTTAGAGAACGAATGGAAAAGTATAACAAGTGGTGTGTCGTGCAGCCAAAACAATAACAGGGGTGATAGTTTAGCTAGTTTCTCTTGCTTAAACTGGGGTATTCCAAACTATCAGTAGATGTGCTCTACTGGACCTTTACTTCACATACCAAATTTCAAGGCAATCTATTAAGAAATACCCAAGATATAACATCTCCAATTTTGAATGAGTTTCTTCCTATTATCTTCTCTTCACACCAATATATCAACCACACTATACTTGCTATCTCTAATGTGTATAACAATATATCAACCACACTATACCTGCTGTATCTAATCTGTATAATATATAAACCACACAATACCTGCTATTTCTAATCTGTATAATATATAAACCACACTATACCTGCTGTATCTAATCTGTATAATATATCAACCACACTATACCTGCGATATCAAATCTGTATAATATATCAACCACACTATACCTGTCACATCTAATGTGTGTATAACAATATATCAACCACGGTATACCTGCTATATTTAATGTATATAACAATATATCAATCACACTATACCTGCTATCTCTAATGTGTATAACAATATATCAACCACACTATACCTGCTATCTCTAATGTGTATACAATATATCAACCACACTGTACCTCCTATCTCTAATGTGTATGACAGGTATAGTGTGGTTGATATATTGTTATACACATTAGATATATATCTAATGTGTATAACAATATATCAATCACACTATACCTGTCATATCTAATGTGTATACAATATATCAACCACACTGTACCTGCTACCTCTAATGTGTATACAATATATCAACCACACTATACCTGCTATATGCAGTATTATCAAGGCCTTTCAGTCAATACCATGGCCAATTAGGCTGGCTGGAATACGTTACATTGCAGCTTCAAATTTTGACCTTACATTCCACATTGCTAACCAGTTGGCCACACTCAACCCATGTCGAGTGAAATAGCACACACTATCTACTCAAATAAATCCACAGTGTTTCACGACATTCCTACCTTTTTCTAAGCCACCTAGGTTAGGTCCTCCCAAATCCTCCTCGTCGCAGCTGGACCAATCAGAGATTGCTGTGACGTCCTCATCCGAGCTACTTGGAGATCTGTGACGCTGTTTCTTGCTACGTCTATGTTTATGAAGTCTAGTTCTCACGTGTTCGGAATTTTCGGAGACAATTAAGTCGCTTTTAACATCTTTCCTTCGTCCATAACAGCCAGCGTGCCCCCTGGTGTCAGTATTCGACATTAATGGGGAACTAAATCCTGAAATACCCTTTTCGCTTTCGTCTCCAGGTGAGTGATATTGTCTGTCTGCGTCACCTGAGTATGCTACTAGCAGATCATTTTGGTGATCTTGATATGGTAAACAAAGATCACTAGGAACCTCTCTAATATATTTACCTTTTATATGCCTTGAATTTTCTGAATCTCCTCGACTTCTATATTGCGTGTCTCGTCGACTTGTTTTACGATCATATGTGGGTGTGCGATAAGTAGCACGCCCCCTATCGGTGTATCGCTCTACCTCACTTTCATTAATTCGTTGTGACCGTCGTTCTACGGAACCGTCTCTGGAAGTCGCTCCCCTAGCTCTGTAATCGTCTCGAGTTATAGGGTTATGGAACTGGACGTCTTCACGCTTAATTTCTCGCGTTCCTCTCCTTCGGTCACGCTTTGAAGCCTCTCGCGTTCTTTCTAACCCTGTCTCGTGCAGTTCAGTGTCATCTCTTGGAGGTGGTGATGGTGAGTAGTCTCTAGACCGCGCTCCATCCCTCTGCATGTGGCGCCCTCTCTGAATATCATGTGGAAAATGTTTTTCGTCAGCAGCGTCAACTCGTGGTTCTGAACAAGACCGTCTTCTCTGGCGATCGCTGTTAGGTGGTGATCTTCTCTCAGAGTGGGACCGCCCCCTATCGCGTAATGTCAAATCAGCAGTTCTTAGAGCACCTTCACGTGACTGTCGCTGAACAGAGTTTTGTCTCCGAAGATCCCGACTCTTAGAACTTCCGGACCTTTCAAGAGAGCCACGTCTACTTCCGGGTAGAGACTGTTCACCTCCAGGATGGAGCGAGTTGGACCTGTCCAGGGGTATGTTCTCGCTCTCCGTACTATGAGATTTCTCTAATATTGGGCGGTACAAAGGATCACTCAGGTTGCCATGCACCCACTGACCAGTCTTGGTGAATAGTTCTTGTTTCTTCCGACACAGGATGCAAACCCAGATAACCTGACAAAAAGAGATTAAAAAATTATTTATTACCGATAGCATTACAAGATGTGATCAACAATTGTTGTTATAATTATTGCTATAAATGTTAAAATCCTCCTGAAAGAAAACCAAATAAACAATTGAGTACAATATTTTAACCAACTTACATCACATAACATAAACATCAGACTCCACTGTCAAGTAATGTCCCACCTAACAGAAACACCAGACTTCAGTAAGGAGTAATGTCCCACCTAACAAAAACCCCAGACTTCAATATGAAGGATCTGTATCACCTAACAGAAACAACAGACTTCAATATGAAGAATCTGTACCACCTAACAGAAACAACAGACTTCAATAAGAAGGATCTGTACCACCTAACAGAAACAACAGACTTCAGTATGAAGATTTGTATTATCTAACAAAAACACCAACTTCTTAAAAAGTTTTGAAGTTTAATTTTCTATATAATACAGATGTTGAGTATATTATATTCAAAAAAGTCTTCGGTGCCTCCCCACGTAATTACAGCATAAGTCTGGACGTCTACTCACGTTCTATATGATGACCATGCTCTATATGTCAAACAACAGCTCTGCGGCGTAGTTTTAATTGCAAAAGACTTCTTCGTAAGATTGTCTTGTCCAAAGCACAGCACTCATCGCTGTTACTCTCCATAATCAACCTTGTGTAGAAGGGCGATGGTTGACTGGCATGCTTTCATATAGAATATCTTGAATCCCCGTTTCATTCTCCAGCTGCTTCAGACATGCAACCACTGAATGGGAGGTAAAACTGGCAGCCTTATGTCAATGAAGCCACATCCTGTTGGCCTCGTTACCAGACACAGAGATATTTCTTGATTATGTTACGTACTATTGCCTGGAGCACGTGGGTGGCTTTTGCACTGACCTTTGACTTCGTAGATTCTCACTTATTACAAGATGCCACACTTTGCTTGCCATGGCTGGGATATGACTCATTGCAGGTCTTTTTCTGTATGGTCCTGAAACCTAATGATGATTCACATTCCTTTATTTTCCAATACCATTAAGTACAAAGGATATCGTCTGTTTAGGAAATTCTAAGGCCCCGATCTGAACACATATTTATGATCTGTGTGTACGAAAATATTGCGTCGGAAAGAGCTTTCTCACACTTCCCAAAATCGATCAATGTTTGGTGTCATCATGCTACCTAGGAACCGAAACTTCATACCTGATGGTTGTCACGTGACTTTCTTATTTGCATATTCAAAATAGTTTTAACATAATGTACTCAGCATACGTACATATGTTTGTGTACATGTACACGTATAAAATAGGCTTACCGTTATTACCAAAAGTTGTCTAGTTTTGCCATCATATTGAATCACCTCCGATTATATCAGTTATATATAAATATTTCAACTTCCTTCATTTTTATAAGTTTGTTTTTTTGTTTTGTTTTTAAACTGAAATATTATATACATGTAAATTAAATCAGATTTTTTTACTCTCATGTAATATGTTCTTATCACAAAATCACATTGTTTCAGTTGTAAAAACAATAAATATCCGTAATAAGAAATGTTCTTGTCCTCTTACGTAAAGCTAATCTAAATTATAGTGTTTGTTCTTGCTGTCAGTTTTTGTATTATGAAAATATTGCAACCATAGGAGTGTAGTATTCAGGTTATGAAACAATATGATATTGTCCAGTTTATGAAATAGTATGATAGTTCAACAATAATGTAGTGTCCAGGTTACGAAACAATATGATAGTTGAACAATAATACAATATCCAGGTTACGAAACAATATGATAGTTTAACAATAATACAGAATCCAGGTTACGAAACAATATGATAGTTCAACAATAATGTAGTGTCCAGGTTACGAAACAATATGATAGTTTAACAATAATACAGT